ATTTGGGCTTCCAAAGATCCAATTTAAATTGGGTACGCTGAATCACACTATCCCAAACAGAGCTTGGGAACCTCCTGTCGAAAATTGGCAGACTCAAATAAGTTAAGGGGAATGAGTCAACTTTACAGCCAAGAACCTGGCCAATTTCAGGGACCACTCCCTATTACAATTGATCCCCAATAGAGAAGTCTTGGAGAAATTTACCTTCATGCCAACTGCCAACTCACAACATTTTAAGAAGCTGCCAATATTAACAATATTTTCTTCCTTGCCTCTGCAAAACTCAAGGAATCATCAGTGTATTGGAGATGAGAGACACTAGGGCCACCCAAGTTGACAGAAAAGCTTGAGAAATGCCCCCTATTCACCACATTAAGACAGTATAAGGCTAAAGCACTCAACGTAGATAGTGAACAGAAAAGGTGAGAAATGATCTCCCTGACGAAGACCTCTAGATGCTCTAAAAGAGCCTTTGGGACGCCCCTTAATAAGAATCGAAAAGTAAGCAGAGGAGAGGCAACCATAGATCCAATTCCTCCAAATGGCCCCAAACCCCATCCTTTTCACAATCTCCAGCAAAATACTTCATTCTACTCTGTCATAGGCCTTTTTCATATCCAATTTAATCACAACTCCTGGTTCTCCACTTGCAACACGAGAGTGGATACATTCTTGAGCAATTAACGCACTATCAGTGATAAACCTGTTTTGGATAAAGGCAGCCTGGGGACCAGAAATGACCATCTGCACCACTCGCTTTAGCCTGATAGCCAACACCTTAGCAATAATCTTATATAAGCTTGTCAGCAGGCTAATAAACCTAATATATGTAAGCTTTGTAATAACATATTTCTTAGGAATTAGAGCAAGTGGAATTAATCCCCTTAAACAAGTCTCCCCTCAAAAGAAAACTGTGAACCATCCTTAATAGTTTCCCTGATAACATAAGCCAAAATCTATGAAAAAAATACATAGGGAAGCCATCCGGCCCAGGTGCCTTATCCCCCGCCAAAGAGAAAACGATATCCTTAAGTTCTTCCATAGATACCACCATTTCGAGACTAGCTGCCATCTCTACTGAGAGCATCCTAAAAGGAATGCGATCCATCGAGGGAGTAAAATGAACTTCTGAAGTGAAAGCACTACAAAAATGATCAATGATGATCTGATCTCGACCATCATCATCATCCTGGTCAATCCCAAAAATGGACAAGCCAGAAATATCGTTCTGCCTCCTACGAGCACTGGCTATAGAATAAAAGAATTTAGTATTGAGATCCCCTTCTTTCAGCCACTTAACACAGGATCTTTATCTCCAGTAGACTTCCTCAGATCTACGAAGATCATGCAGGGAATTAACCTTCTCAGCCTTAGCACAAAGGCTAAGCTTAGAAAGAGTACCATCTCTCTGTATAGCCTGATCAAACCCTTGAATTTCTTCCAACAACCTATCAATCTTAATACTTAAGTTGAACTGATTATCTCTCTTCCATCATATCAACTTATGCTTCACATTGAGTAACTTTTTGTGAAACTGAAAATCAGGGGAGCCAAAGGTGACAGTATTAGCCCCAGTAGCTCTAATAAGGTCCCCCACCCTCGGCTCATTCAGCCAAGCAATCTCCATCCGAAATGGTTTGGGACCAGCAATAGACTAATAGGAATTTAGTAATAGAGGTCTATGGTCAGAGGACAACCTAGGCAGAGTTTTCACAGAGGTCCAAGGGAATGCTTCCAAAAACTCATTGGAGATCAGAAAGCGGTCAATTTTTATCATAATAAGGTTGTCAAGGCTATTATTGGTCCACGTAAAAGAGGCGCCTAACAAAGGCAAATCAAACAAACAAAGACTCAATAAAAGCATTGAACAATCTCATAGATGAATTAATTCGACAGTCTAAGGAAGACTCCTCAGGCCACCAAATCAAGTTAAAGTCTCCCCCCACACAAACAGGTAGATTAACCGTAAACAAACTATTCAATAAGTCAGAGAGAAAACTTGCTTTAAGGGTGACATTGCTAGGACCTTAAACATTTAAGAGGTTCCACAAAAAGTTTGGAGAAGGACCATTAAACAACACAACCAGCCAATTATCACCTTTTAACACATCAAAACATTATAGAATATGAGGATTCGACAATACCCATAGGCCACCTGAGGCTCCAATTGAGTCGATACCAGCACAACAAACCGAATCAGAGCCCCAAACTTCCCTAGCCCTGAGCACAAAAGGGCTGGGCAGTTTGGTTTCTTGCAAGATTAAAATGTCAGGTTTACATTTCCTAACAAAAAATCGAACATCCTTCCTTCTACTAGAGCCACCTAAACCTATAATATTCCAAGACAATATAATCATTAAAAAAAGATGGAGGAAGAACCTGGACCATCAGCATAAGGTCCACCTAGTTGCCAATCGAGCACACAAGCAGCCTCCATCGATTAGCAACTGTCATCTGAGTTAATTGACTCAGAATTGTTTGCATACGCCTGGCTGCCTCAAATCACCAGGTTTGGCCCTCTCGCCAAAAGCCTTGCCGAGAACCTGGAAGGTGCGGTCCTCTTCTTTTCTTTGCCTTTGGCCGAGCATCTCACAGACCCAGAAGCCGGTCAACCACATCTAACTGGCACAACAGCAGCACCCTCCAGGGACACATGATGAACCTGCTTCATCTGAAAATCGGGCTTTGATCCACCCTGTTTCGCAGAGTCTCTTGCAAAACCATCGCCTCCGCTTTCTTAGCTGGCTCATTCTTGGCTCTAACCTTGTCTTTCATCGCCTGCAGCACCACAACAATAGGGACATTGTAATCCAGCCCCATATCCTTGAACATCACCCGAAAGCCACTAACCTCGTCGTCCCTGCTAACCTCGTCCACTGCCTCAGCAACATCAATAGCCACAACATCACCCTCCCCTACAGTAGCATCAGGATAGAGTAGAATAATAAAAATGGGGTTAGTCGTTGCCCTCTCCACCAGTCCCGACAGAGGGTCAACAACGTCCTCCTTCTCGATGACCTCCACCACAGCGTCATACGTAGCCTCCAAGCATTCCATCCACCTCCTCCGAATCGTCGATAGGGATGATCGCCAAGGGATCAACAAGAAGGGGTTCGAAGAGTTGCCTTTCACTAGGGCTGGTACGCTTCTTCGCAGCTCTTCTACAAGGGAGGAACCTCTTCCTGTCCGTCATCAGCAACAAACTTAATGCCAAGGCCATGAGAAACTCAAGTGCTGTCGCAAAAACCAGTTCACCCGGGAGATGGTAGGCCACCGTTTCGACTTCCTCTCAAAGATCGAAACTGCCTGCCCACAGGAGCCACTGACAAGATCAAAGTGCCAGATACGCTCCATATTTTTTGCCAACTCAGTGGTCATTCTAGCCTCCTCTAGGGAATGGCAGCTGTCATCGAAAACTTGAGTAGATGAACCCACACGGTGCACCTCCAGCTCTAAGTCACCCATGTTCATCACCGTTGCCCTGCCATGACTCAATTCATCACCGTCAAATGACCCGTCCAAGTTAATAGGAGGAAACCTTCCCACTGCCCACATTTTCTAGGTTTTTAAATTCTAATTTCAAAAATTTTGCCGTTTGTTCCACCAACGAGCTTTTTGGTTGTAACAGCCCCTGGAATTATTCGAGAAAAAATTCTTCCGCCTTCCAGCTGGCAGAAACGTGGTTGGAACTTGCTTCTTCCTCCTATTCCTCACCTCAATCCACCCTTCCTCAAAATTTGTATGAGGCTGAGCCCCACCAATACCCTCCAGAGCATCCTTTGTATCCATTTCCTCCAACCAATGCCCTTCCAGAGTAATGTCAATCTAGAACAATTATTTTCCCACTCGTACAGAGATTTTCTTAAGGCAAGGGATACCCAAGAAACGGTTAATCAAGACTCTCACAAAGGAAGCATTTGAACCATTTAGCAACTTATAATCAACCTCACAAAACTAACCAAAAGAGCTGACAATCTGCTTAAGAACCGAGACATCCCACATGTGGAGGGCGACACCCCAAAGCCTCACCCAAGAACGAACTTTCTACGCATAAGAGGGATGTACCGAGGGGCTCTAGTCGATCAAAGTCATAAGTCTCCCATGCACTCTATAGAATCTCATGCTACGATCCCTATCCGCATCCCTCTTCGACGAAAAAACAAATGCAGCTCTACCCCTTGCTCAAAGATAAAACATGAGGCACATACGACAAACCCCAACCTCTCTTGGCCTAGTCCCCTAGGCCAAAAGTATCATCTAACGGAGGACAGAAGGAGCCTACCAAGATCTGGTGGGGCCTCCTCCCAAAGCCACTTTCTACCTCAACACACACCTTAGGGAAAGAATCTAACACTGAATCCATCAGTTCAGGTGCTACACACCATTTTCACGTTCCTTTCTCTCTCTCTCTCTGAATCTAGTGATTCATCATCTTCATCTTCATATTTTGCCAGCACCAATCAATACTACGTCACTATCTCAACTACTTAACTTTTCCCATAACACACAAAAAGGCGGTCCGACAGTATAACAAGCAATTTGGCAATATCCCAAAGTGGTCTGATACTGATAAGAAACGATTCGGCAATAGGCCCATGCGGTTCGACAGCAAGTCCAAAGTACGGTTTGGAAATGTTAAAGAGCGGTCTGACACTTTTTTTAGTTTAATGAGATCCAGCAATTGGTACATTGCGGTCCGGCAACCCATGTAGCTTATGGTTTTGTGCGAAAGCCAACATGAATGTCCAGCCAAAATTAAATTTTTATGTATAAAAAAGGTATTTTTCTAAAAAATGTACCTCTTTTTACTTTGGAGTATTCGCTAAAAAAGTATATTTTGGGGTAAAAAGTGAAAAGAAAAAATTTGGTTAAGGTAAGTTGCATAGGAAGCCTATTCTTAGGGAGTTAGTTGTAATTTTAATATATGCTTTTTATAATTTCTCACTAAGAAGTATAAAATCCCCAAAACTTGAACTGATTCCTTTCAAACAAACCAAAACTAGAATGCACGCTCCCACAAAAATCTCCATTTCAGGGAGGAGACCAGTCTATCCCCATTGCCGCTGCTTCATCTGAACCTCTAAAACTTAAGACATAAACCGTAGAAATCAATACGAACCCTAGAAGAAAGCCAGTGTCAGAAGCCATGGCCATAAGAACCCGGGCCAGGATCTTAACAAACAGGCTCCAGTCAATGTTTCTTAGTTCTTCTTTTCTCCATGATCACGCTACAAGCTTCGGTAGGTCTTCTAAAGTCTTGAAATAAGCAATAAATGTCTATATTTTATGTATACGTTTAATTTTTTGAAATCAGTTACTATGTAAAATTATTGTTTTAATTGTTTCTCATTTCAAATAGTAAACATTTTATATATACGTTTAATCCTATAAATAATGAAAGTTGTGGTTACTGTAAAACTTGTCCTTTATTCTCTATCGTCTTCATTACTAATGGAAGATTTGACACGCTTATAAGATCTATAAATCCTTGAGTGCTATAAGCAGTCAATCGTATCCGATACATCATAGCATATATCAATTTATGGTCACGTTGCATACCTGTTCCATTTTGTGCAATGGATATTATTATTGAGAGGAATGCTCAATTTAGTCATGTTTTATTGAATAAATCATGTTTTAGGTTTTCCTGCAAAGGTTTTGTGGGTCCTGATTTATAGCAGCAGTGCTTGGATTTTTCGCCTTTGTCATATTAATTGAATGTTTTACGCTGTTTAGATTTTTAAAGCAAGCATGGATTTTGTGAAGAGAAAATTCCTTCTTCAAAGCTCTGGCTTTAGACATTTTGTTTTTTATGTTTTTTGACACTTTGGTTTATACTTTATAGAGTGAGTTTGATGGCTTGGCTTTATTGCTCTACTCATTTGATGCTAAAAACTATAGATGGATTGAAATGAAACCAAATGTAATGACTCAAAATTTAAATCTGTAAGGTTTTTTTAATTACATCTATGTTTTCAAACTTGGCTTGGACCTCAGTCTCAGTCCTGACCCAAGCCTGAGTAACTCGACTGAGTCAAAGTAGTCTTGTACAAGTCAAGAAAAGCATAAAATTCAGAAAAATTTAAAAAAATCTGTTAAAAATGAGAGAAGAATTAAAAGAAGCAATTGAAATCATTAAAAGTCCAAAAAAGTATATAAAATATATATTATTGAAATTTTTGAATTGTACCTTGAAATATTTCTGAAAAATGAAAAAAACAGGGAACAATAAAGAATTGGAGCCTGTAATAAGAAAAGTTCCCAAATCATCATAAAATGCGCATACATCATATAAAAAATGTATTTCTAAAGCATATATCGAAGACTCTTTTTACCTAAATTTTTGGGTTTTTAATATTTTAATGGGTATGAGTTAGCCACTGGAACTCCCCTTGGCCATAGGCCAACCCCGAGTTACTCGGCCAAGTCCGAGTAGACTCACCCAAGTCTTGAAACACTGAATTACATAATTTTCATTTTGGTAGGAATTAGAATGGGAAGCCCACTGCTTTTTTTTTGTTCCATGGTATTTGATGACTTGTTTGGCTTGTTATATTATATCTGCTGAGGATTATACTTCCTAAGAGGTGAATGTAGACATGTTTCTCATGGTGTTCTTCCTTCCTTAGGGGTTGGAATGCTGTGTATACCGTTTTTTAAAGAGTTCCTAGGCGTATTGTCAACACATTGATTGTGAACATGGTTAATTCTCAAATGGAATGGATATGCAAGTATCTGGAGCTTCAGACTTGTGATGGAATCATTCCACTACATTCAGTGTGTTTCCTTGTTTTCTTATATAGATTATAATGAGTAAACCACTGATCCTTAGAATCAACAGAATGCAATGATGATTACACAAATTTTATCTGGAAATATTAGAAAGAACATTCTCTACTATTAATGATAGGTGTTTCAGGAAATAACCTTTCCTGTAGTTTGCTTTATTCCATTAGTAGTCTTATGTGGATTGGGTGTATTGGCTTGAAGTATTCTCCAAGAAAACAACGATGCCCGAGACAATCCACATAGAATCAGTAGTTTGACTATATTTCCCAACACTCTTACAAGCAGATAAATAGGAACTCTATGGGGGGGAAGAAAACAGGATTGGGAAGGTCGGGTAGGATGTGAGGGCAATCGGGTTAGAGTAAGAGATGTGATAGTACATTCCTTTTTATGGAGTCTATCTGGAACAAACATTGTGGATGCCACCTCAACAAAGGACCTTTTGATAATAGTGTATTCAAGTGGGTAGGAGCTATAATATGATCTCCAATAGATCAATTGTATCTAGAGGTGCATTTGGCACTTGTCTTTTGATTTTCAACCCCGTTTTGCTTAAGTTCTGTCTGATTAAGTATTGTGATTCTGAAGCTCTAGTTGAGTTCCAAAAGATTTATAGTCGAGTTCAAGTTGAAGCATTTTCTCCAGCGTTTTTGTCTTTTCTAGAGATTTCCATGGGAGACTTTTTGTGCTCATCAAAATGTCATTCGAGTACTCCAATTTCTTCCTTTTGTGTTTCATGTCTGCGTGTATCAAAACTTTGACATATGGTGACACAAATTGACATGGACCAGACATGTGGGTTATATGTTTGGACTATGCAGTGCTCCAAAATGGAGCATTGACACTTATGTCAAGCATCTCCGTTATTTGGACACAGAGTATTTATACTTTATAGATGTATACTATGAAAGATACATGCCCTTTATTGAACCTGAACCCAGAGCCTCTCAATACAGGGTAAAATGGTTTACCACTATGCTAATAACGTGGTTTTTGAAAGATATTTTATTAGTAATCTGAAAACTAAGCATTATTATGAGTTAGAAAACTGTCCCATGTGTACTTATGAAGAAGAAAAGATGGTGTCCTGGATATTGACTTATGAAGTTAAGTTCCGCTTTTGAATTTTCCTTCAATAATGGGGTAGTTTACCTTCTTTTGTTTAGGGACTCAAAAGAATGAGCTATCCACAGAATGAATTGTAGATGTAGATAATATGCCTAAATGTAAGGGGCTTGATTGATGAACCCGAAGTTTCTGAGCTTGCCTTACTGAAGAACTGGTATTTACGTCATTCCATTTCTAATTGCTAACTGTGGTGTTTGGAGTTTGAAATTCAAATTCTAATTGCTTACTGTGGTATCTGGAGTCTGAAATTCGATTTCTAATTGCTTGATATGGTGTTTGGAGTCTGAAATTCCATTTCTAATATACCGTGAAGTCATAGACTAGAGTCTGAAACTGGCCTTCTGTTGAGGTAAAGAACATTCACTTCCACATAATACTGCTTCTAAGAAAGTCGGTTGAAGGTAATTTTGCATTCCATTTCTAACAACTTATGCTGGAGTCTGAACCTGGCCCTCTTTCTTATTAGTAGAATGAGTGTAAAGAACTTATGCAACTGTGGAAAAGAAAAATACTGCTTTCTAACCAAGTTGGTTGAAGCTATGGCTGTGAATTTCAGAAAAAGTGTACATATATGAAATTTTACGCTTTTTTTTTCTTTTTGTTTTTGCATTTTAAAGTTATCGACACAACTTCATTCTCAAAAAAAAAAAGAAAAAAAGACGCAACTACTTGTTCAAAACAGGAAAAGATTAAAGTATGAGCATAGTTCTGGATTCAGTTTAGGCGGCTGAAATTGATTGCTACTTGTGCCTTCTTGGAGGTCAGTTAATATTGATGTTTAATTGTTTGATAGGATATAAAGAAGTGGGGGAAGAGGAAAAGAGTAAACTGGTTGGGAATGTTTTTAGTAGTGTTGCTCCCAACTATGACCTTATGAATGATTTGATGAGTGTCGGCCTACATCGATTGTGGAAAGACAGGTTGAGTACGTTATATATATCTAGAAATATTTTGCTTAAAACTTGCTAAATATTTCCTATCCTTGAGCTGCTCTCTGCAATGGCTTGTTTACAGGTTAGTCTCCAAACTGGCTCCTTTTCCAGGGATGAAGCATCTCGATGTGGCCGGTGGAACAGGTTAGCATCTTGCAGTCTCTCTCAGCAGAAAGCATTTCTTTTATTTATAGCATTCCATGGTGGACCCATTGATCCCCACTCTAATGGGTGTTAGTAAGGCAGGCTCACTGAATAGAAATAGTAGACAAGTTCATTGGATGGAAACAATCATCTGAGAAGGACATATACTTTTTTCACAAAAGAGACTTGGGAAAAAGAAAAACCATAACGATGAAATGGGACACTAGTAAATAAAGTAAAAGGGATTAAAGTGTTGTAAAAGAAAATGAGGTACATGTTAATAAAGAAGAGAAATAAATGATAATAGGGTTATATTATCTTCATTAAAATCTTATGCTTTTTTGTTCTTGCTTCATAAGAACTGAATAGCAAGTGCAAATTATCTAGTTATCTTATGAACATGGAGCAGTTCGGTTTATATACTTGAAAGGGTAAAATAGATACATTACAAGTAATTTGGCAGTGAATATTGCCAATTTATATAGAAACCTGAAAGATGCTGAAATATGAAACCAACCATTTCTTGGCATTTCTTTATTGCTTTTTTGACAAGATCATTTCAATTGTTGTTCATACAGGTGATATTGCATTTCGAGTTTTGGAGTCCATCAATGGTGTTAAAAGGAGAGCCCTGCAAGATGGCTTAGAAGATAATTCTGAGGATGAGACTCGTGTATTTGTCTGCGACATCAACCCTGCCATGTTGAGTGTCGGCAAAAAGCATGCCATAGAGAGAGGTGGAGGCATGATGCTAAGATCATATACTTCTTTCATAAAAAATAAAGATAAAAAGATTCGCTTCAAAGATTGTGGATTTTTGTATTGAATGTTATCATTTGGATGTTGCATATTATCTCCTACATTATAGATTATGCCTTGTCACTAGTGAAGCTCATCAATCATGTCAAAATTTCATTGCCTTGTAGGTCTTGGAGAAGCTCAATCACTTGTATGGGTGGAAGGTGATGCAGAAGCTCTCACTTTTGATGATGACTCAATGGATGGTTACACAATAGCATTTGGGATCAGGAATGTAACACATATAGAACGTGCACTTGCAGAAGCTTACAGGTAATTTACTTAAATTCATAGTCGATGGTTATAGAAGATTTTCACATTTGAAACTGATGTAAGAACTATCGTTGGTTATATACTAGTCCATGACCACCGTCAAAGTCTGAGATGGGCTTGTTGGGCACTTGGGAGAATATAATAAACTTCAGGCAAACAGTATAGCTTCAAACCAATGTTGTTTAATTCTATTCGCTTCGGCTGAAGAGGCCAAAGCCTTTGGTTTTTAACTCTGAACCGAATCGAAATGAAGAAAAAATCAACTGCTTCAGCTGGATTCGGCCCGCTTCAGCCAGATTCGGGTGGATTCGGCTGAGGGAAAATATGATAATAGGTAACATTTACGAGGGCATCAAAAAAAAAAATCAGTAGTTTATAAAGTACCCATGTTTCCCAGGGTAATTTCCTCTCTCAACCTCTTAAAAGTTTTACTAAAGGCTTGCTTTGACCGTCACCTTTTGTACTTTTTAGCCTAGCTTTTAGTTTTACCATTAACCGGTTATACTTTTTATACTCTCTCTCTCTCTCAGTCTCTCTCTTAAAAGTTAACTGCTTTTGAGTATATAGCTAGTAAATAATTTATTTACTCTCTCTCTCTCTCAAAAGTTAACTTTTGAGTATATAGCTAGTAAATAATTTATTTACTCTCTCTCTCTCTCAAAAGTTAACTGGATTGAATGGATAAGTGATAACTAATTTATTTATTTTTCAATTTCATTTTTTTTTATAATATATAAAAATACATTTTTATTTTTAAACATTTAGAAAAAAACCCACAGTCTTCCCCCAAATCAGCCGAAGCACTGAATTGTTTTCATTTTTCATACCAAACCGAAGCAGACTCCGAAGCAAATCTGACAACATTGCTTCAAACCATTATATATTTGTATATTTTGATGTAGACCATTTAGGCCATGGGCTCGATGGTGAGCAATGCTTCTACACATTTTCTGTAACCCCTGCAGTAAAAGGAGTTAAAACGAAAGTGTTTTTACCTAGAATGTTATATTTTCCGAAAATTTTATTAGCTTTTGTTTGAGAATAAGTAATGGATGAGACTTCTGATTTGTTTTTCAAAACTCATCCTACTGGAAGGTCTGAGCTCTGAGCACAAACATAATTGCCCCCCCTTTTTTTTCCAATTTGCTGTACTTGGTTGCCTGCTCAATTCTTGATTTGAGGTCTGTTTTACAATGATGCCGGTGTTTCCTTAGAAATGTTATTCCCCTAAATATGCCGGATAATGATAATCCATCTTTAATATGTTTTAATTTTGGATTTTCCGACACCATGTAAGGACATATATTGATTTTTGTTGTGCAATTCCAGAGTGCTCAAACGAGGTGGCAGATTTCTCTGTCTTGAGCTGAGTCATGTGGAAGTCCCAGTATTCAAGCAAATGTGAGTTCACATTCTTTATATGGTTTTGGTCTCAAGATTTGAAGAAACTCTCCATCTAAGTATTTTCTCCCACTCAAATCTCCATATATTAGCTATGCCACCACTGTAACTTAAGATATATTGCCATATGTTGCTTCATTTTGGATTGGCTTACCTTGCCTTTCCATTCTTGCTTGAAAATCTGTGCTTCTTATTTAATACTTAATCAAACGACATGCTTGTTTGGTTCCCTATTAAATGTAGAAATCTTGTGTTGCTTTGCATCTCCACATGTTGGTCTATAGATGAAGAAAAAAAATTAGGAATCAGGTTTGGGCTTGATTGGTTAGTTATTGAAGATTGTAACGTTGTCCCAAAAAAAAAGTTTGATTCTTACCACTAAACTACCCAAAATAATAAAACGAAGCAAGTCAAGGGGCTAAATTATTTTATTGCTAACTACGTACTTCCTTTGCTTCTTGCTACATCACAGATATGATCTTTATTCATTTTCAATCATTCCTGCAATTGGAGAGTTCGTAGCGGGTGATCGAGATTCTTATCAGTATTTGGTCGAAAGCATTCGCCGATTCCCCTCGCAGGTAATGTTTTAGTGGCGAGGTCTCCCTCTCTCTCTAGAGAGAGAGATTTGTCAATCTTTTGTACACAGAAATACCAGATATTGGAAATTGAGTTTCTTTCATCTCCTGCAGGAAAAGTTTGCACAGATGATTGCAGATGCGAGATTTCAAAAGGTTGAATATGAAAATCTTATTGGTGGGGTGGTTGCAATTCATTCTGGAGTGAAACTATAAGAGCTTTGCAATGGACATTAGAGGAGGTACACTGCGATCTTCAGACAATTGTCACTGTCAGTGTTTTAAAACCCGGAATTGGGTTTTTAATTGCCCACCCACTGTACCGATCTAGGTCAGCTGAATCGGTGACAAATCGGTAAAATGAAAACCAATAAAAAATGCTATCGGGCAATTCTACGGGATTGGGGAGAGACCTGGATTGCCGTGGATCGCTCGCCCACTTTGGGCTCTAAAACATTGGTAATTGGCAAAATTTCTATTTGATTTTCATAACTGGTAAAAAATTATTTCGAGTTAGATAGCTGTGGTACCTCTGTTGCCCTTCAGCCAATATTTATTATTTATTTGATGAATCTTTTGGAACTTCATGTGCATAATTGATCTTCTACTTCTTGTCATTCTTGTGTATTAGAATACTTGTCTTCAGGCCTTCTTCGAAATCCCCGTGTAATGTCGGATATTGTAAGAACAGATGCAACGCAAGACGTGGGAAGGCATTGGGGTCGTAATACCAAATAGGGGTACGTGTGATCCCTCATGAGACATAAAAAAGTCGAATAATTCCCTAGGTGCAGTGTATATAAGATGTCCACCTCAAATAATCAAAGTAATAATTATAGTGTTGGAAATTCTCTTGATGGCCTGAAAGTCTGTTTCGACCCCTAATTATGAATTTTAAAGCTCTCCTCAAACAATGCGGGTTGAGCTATATGAATGCTTGAAAATCTTGAAAATAAATGGTTGAGATAATGCATTTTAGGTTGTGATATTTGGATTACTTGAATTTTTTTTTAATATAAATATATCTCAAGGTTGAAATGTATCCATTGGAGGGCTTTTAAGATTCGGAACAACCTTTTCTGTTGCTCTAGGACGAAGTTGTCACCTCAAATAAACTTTTTACAACCCTAAATAACAAGTCTTTAGAATGAGGAAGGCACCTTTAATTTGTTGACCTCCACTCTATTGCCGCAAAGAAGCGCTCACTCTTCTGAACTAAAGATGTTCTCCTTCACATCAGTGGATTCACATAAGCTCTCCCTCCCCTGACCCTAACACTAACCTCTGAGCCCCTGATCATGACTAATTTGTAGTCAGAGATAAAGACTTTGGATTCTCAAGGATGTTAGATGAAAGGCTAAGGATTTCTTAGTAAAATGGGAGGCGGAATTATTTCTTCCCTTTGATTGGAACTAATTTCCTTTTCATCAATCAATGGAGGTTGTAACTAATCCACTTCTGAAGCAGTACGACTTTTGATTCTTCTTCCCTCCTCTTTATTCTTCTTTGTGTTCGTACTTTTTTAAAGGCGAAACATTTTTTTGCTCCTCATAGGTATGACCATGCAAAATGCATGCTGCTTGGACCAAGTTGACTTCTGTTGATTGGGGAAAATATAACCTGTTGCAGAGTGATCATTAAGCTATTTTTAATCCATAATTATATAAATATAAGAAGTTTTGGCACAGCGTTCGAATCATAGGATGCCAAACTCAATTATCCACCAATCCATGGGATAAATCTTGTCCATAACCATGCCAAAGTGGTAAAATAAGTATGAAAACTAAGCCTATAGAGTGGAGACTAAGATCTCTCAGAAGAAAGCATGGAGAGAGAGCTTGGGGAGATTGGAGTAGGAGATGAAGACCATGGAGACCCTGTGGTTACTATCAGGTACGATTTATAAGGTGGGCTTTTGTCAAATGCGAAGTTTCTAGTAGTGGGGTCTTTCTCCCCCCTTTCGAATGACATATTTGGTCTCTTTGATTGGGCTAAAAGATGTTGGAGCTTGTCATATGCTCCGAAGGTTAAAATAATGGGGCATAATAAGATCGTTTTCTTTCTTCGATATGAGGAGAAAGTTGTGATGGCTTTGAAGAATCGATTTGTTAGAATTAGATGTAAGCTTCTGTCTTTGGACTATTGGAAACCTGCGTCTCATCTTTCTTATTTACGAAAGGAAAGCCAATGGATTATGATGTCAGGTATTCCCTTCTATGCATGGTCATTGGCTACTTTTCGTAAGCTGGCATATAGGTGTGGGGAATTTTGTGACATTGATAAGGCGGCATTTGAAGGGGTGGACTTACGTTATGTTCGGATCCATTTCTGGAAATTGTGTGGGGCCTCCATTCCAAATAGGTTGAGACTTCAGGTGGGCCAGGAGTCCCTTTCCATAGTTGTTTCGGTAGAAACAAAGGATCTTAGAAGTGGCCCTCCTAGCGTCAAGAGGGGTGCGCCTCCATTGGTGGAGGATGAAGGATGGGAGATGGTAAATCGACGACGGCGAGCATCGCCTAATACGGTCTGGGTTAATTCTGGCACTGCTTTTTTGCTTGAGGTTGATCCCCGGAATTCTAGGACAAGGAAGAAGGAGTTTCCAACTTTGAAAATTCGAAAAAGATGGATCCCAGTGGGCTGTTTTGCTAATAGTTCCGCTAACTTTTAGCTAACGCTACTGGAGTTGATGAGGGTCCACGGGAGGTTTTGGTGTGTGAGAGACCACTGAAAGTTTTGCATGCATGAGATACCGCCGAAATGGGGGAGTTGAACGACGTATCTCTGCATAGAGAATATGTGGCTCGTTTTTCGAAGAATGAGGTGATAGCTGGGGGTTGCAACATGGTAGCATGTACGGGCATTGCGATGGCACGCGTGAAGGTAGGTAGCTTATTCTCCAAGCTTCCGGTGGCTGATATGAAGGCGGTGGAGTTCGTCTCTCTCAATTCCATTCTTCTGGCCTCTGTACTTCTACTCGCAGGTCATCGTCTACGATTGACGGTTGCCCTCCAAGTTGTCCTAGCTTTGCTAAGAACAATGTATTCTTTATGGCATCGTTGAGTAGCCAGGAAAAATTGATCATCCTAGAGGCCAGTCTTTGATCATTTGGCTATCAATCTGCTGGCCATAATTGTGGTAGAAGAGGCACAAAAACATATCGCAGTGGAAGAAGGGGACAAAGATGAGCTTATCCCTGAAGCGGTGGTAGAAGATGGTGATGGGATTGTTGATACTGAGTCTCTGGAGGAGGGCTTAGCCATGGTGGAAGCTGATGCTTCTGCCCCTCTTAATGTGATACTTGACGACGACCGGCCTTTGATTCTTCATTTGGCTGCTGATAATTCAATTGAGTCCAGAGGGTTTGGCTCAGAAGGATCCGTGTGGGGATAAGGTAACCTCTACTGTGCACGATAGTGGGTTGGACTTTGATTTGCCTATTGGGGTGGTGTTTAGAGAAATAGTGGAGAAGTTAAGGGTGGAGAAAGACAAACATATTGTTGCTGAGAAGGAGGTCGCTTGCGGTGGAAATCAGTCTCCTGCAAAGGATGTAGGTAGGAAGAAGAAGAAAGGAAAAAGCTCGATGAAGGATACAAGGTCATCGGCCCTGCTGATGGCCCGGGGACTTTGCCCTGGTACTGCTACTGGTATTGTTAGTTGCGATGAACAGGTGATTGAAGTGAGCTCTTCTCCTTCATCGTCAACTTTGGAAGAGGTCTTTGATGATGCTATGGAGGAAGCTTTGCTATTGGAAGAGGCTTATTTTGGTACCAGTAGGGATGGGTCAGGTTCTTCCTTCTCTAAACCTTTTTTAAGGTTAGTCCTTTCCAGGAATGTAAGAGGGCTTGAGGACCTGAGACGTAAGAAAGACGTTCATTATTTGGTTAGTAAGTATAAACCTACTGTTCTTATTTTGTAGGAAACCAAACTTCTCAATCCCAGTTTATCTGGTGTCAGGGAAGTATGGGGTCCTGGAACAGTAGATTTTGTGGGTATTGACTCTGTTGGGGTCTATGGATATTGTGGGATCCTTCTGTTTTACTTTCATTTTGTGTGGTTAAAAAAGACAATTTTCTATTGGTTGGCTTTGTAGGACCAGAGGCTGATTTCAATGGGGTTTTATGAATGTCTATGGACCCCATACTCTTGCTTTGAAAGAGAGTTTAATTTGTGATATGTCAAATGCTATTTCTAATTTTGGTTATCCGATATGTTTAGGGAGGGGTTTTAATTTTATTAGATGCCCGGAAGAAAGTTCTCATGGTGGGGTGATAGCATCTACTATGTGTCTTTTTAACCAATTTATAGAATCCCATGCTCTTATAGACGTGCCAATTTCAGGCACGGTTTTTACATTGAATAATGGAAGTATTTCAAATTTGTCAATGTCCAAAATTAACAGGTTTTTGGTGTCTGGTGAGTGGTCAGAATTTTCCCCCTTAGCATCTGTTATAGTTCTCCCTAGACTTTCCTCTGATCATACCCCTATTTTGCTTAGTTCTAAATTTGGCATGGGGGCTCAAACCTTTTAGGTTTGAAATTGGGTGGTTACTAGAGAAGGAAGTTGTTGACCTAATTAAAAGTACTTGGGAGAATTCTATCTCCTTTGGTTCTTTAGATTTCCAACTTCATAAGAAGCTCTAGAATGTTAAACACAATCTTATGGATTAGAAAAAAGAAAAATGTTTTTCTGTCAAAAGGAAAGTTGATGATGTCTTAAGAAATATAGAGGAGATTGATGCAGTTGTGCAACAGTCTAGGGTATTGTTTGAGGAGCTGATTGTTGCGAGAAGTTCGAAAACTAATGTGCTTCAGGAGCTTAGAAGACTAGAAGATGTGTATTGGAAACAAAGATCTAGGGTTAAATGACTGAAGGAGGGGGATTTGGATACCAAAGTTTTTCATGCTATAGCCAACGCACGGAGACGTCAGAATGATGTTTCTGGACTTTTGATCCATGGAGTGGATCCTGATGATAGCGCATGAATGTTCAAAGCTATTATCGATCACTTCCAAAAAGTTTTCTCTTCAGAAGTCAAATGCACTCCCCGGTTGAGTAGGGTGGAGTTTAAGGTTTTACCGTCTAACTTGATTTCTTTTTTGGATTGGGATGTCTCTATGGATGAATTAAAAAAAGCAGTCTTTGCTCTTTCAGGTGATAAGGCATGTGGTCCTAATGGATTCCCTTTAGTCTTTTTCCATAAATTCTGGAAGTTGATTAGTGATGAGTTGTTGGAAATGACTAGGGGATTCCTTAAAAAGGGATAACTTTTTAGAGAGGTGAACTCCACCTTCATTGCTTTGATTATGAAAAAGTCAGTTATTGCAGATTTGGGAGACATTAGACCTATTAGCCTTTTGACGAGTCTCTACAAAATAGTGGTTAAGGTCCTTGCTGAATGTTTAAAGGCGCTGCTACCGCTAATTATATCAGGTCCACAATTAGCTTTCATCAAAGATAAGTTGATTTTTGACAGTGTTATGATAGTATAGGAGTGTATTCATTCACAAATTCTAAATGGACGTGCTGGGGTGGTTGTTAAACTGGACATGGAAAAGGCATATAATACAGTGGAATGGGGTATTCTATTAGAAATTATGAAGAACATGGGG